ATTTCAGTATAATTTGATGTGGTTGGAATCGTTCAAAAACAGACAGTGACTAGTAACAAAGCATATCATTGCATCTCCCTTCAATGATTCGATTACTGATACTTAACAGAATACAACGATTCTAAAATAGACTTTTGTATTTACTCTATATTGAAATCAATAAAATTTATATTATCATAACATGAAAAAATTTTTTCTATAACATGATACAAAGATTGATAATTTTCAGTTTAATCCATTTTTCAATTTTAATAGATATTTTAGACGATTCGATACTTTATCATATTTTTCAATAAACAAGAAGAAAAAGAAAAGCATTCAACTTGTTCATTTGAACTTGAAATTCAAAAATATTAACATTCTTAAAGGAATATTTGGAATAAAAATTGATTTATTTTTTACCTAATTCTTTTCAGAAAAACCAATCTTTTAAGACAGTCTGATATGAATATAAAAATCAAAATGAAAGTAATGCAGCTTAAATTCAGGGGAATTTATGTGAAATTTTATTGAATGCATTCTATCAGCTACAGAAGAATCAGAAAGATTCATGACAAAAGAGATCATTACAAATTAAATCAAATTTAAATTAAATCTCCAGCGATTTTTTTCGGAAGTCGATTGGATATACACAAAAATATTCAAAGTAAGTCAAAACTTTTATTTTATTCAACACAAAAAAATTGAACATCGTCAAGATGTCAGAGAAGCTTCACATAAATATGCACATATTAAGATCCGTTTAGAGACAAAATATTGATTAGAACTAATTGCCGTTAGATGAATCAGTATATAATATCAATGTGCTATCCTCTATAAAAAATTTTTGTAAGTGTTTGTGATATTAGGCAAATGGACGAAGATATTCTCTTCTGACTACAGAATATGTCAATATTTACTATCTATATCTTAATAAGAATGTAAATTATGAAACACAAAACTAAAAAACAAGTATTTATCCTTCATCTTTGAAATAAAAAAAACATTAAAATGCGATCGTAGAAAAGAGCTGAATATTTATTTCTATATGTTAAAAATTGCATTATGCATTTTTTTCAAGTAATAAGGGTGTAGGTGTGAAGAGAAGATGCATAGCCACACAGCAATGTGCAACAGAATTTGATAATATATTTAAACGACTAAATAGAGAAGATCTATTTCGAAATATCAAATTCTCAAGGCAAAATCTGTGTGTGAATCTCAATGAAAAACATTGAGACATTCAAATCTAACTGTAATCAGCATCGACATTTGAGATTACAGTAGATCTATTGTGTTTAGCATGTTGATTGGCAATGAATTAAATTTATTTGTAATAGAAAAAGTAATAAATGCAAGAGTAAAAAATGATTTGTAAAGCCCATACAAAGTCAATAATTAATGATTAAATATGAATTACTTTAAGAATTTCTCTCGTCTTTTGATTATTTTCTTGAGTACTCTTCCCCTCCTTCATGGAATAGAAGTCTATTGTGTCTGAGTTGAGCACAAACAAATAATGTAAAAAATTGGATAGATTAGCTCATTGCTTCTCATTATTCAATTATAGCTGGGTGTGTGTGTTGGTCTCCTCCTAACCCACACTCACACCCTTATTTCTAACATGGATGACTTGAGTAGCGCGATCATATTGGATAGATTTTGATGTAATTCTGCAATAATTTTGTCCGTTGAATTTATTCTCATTCTCAATCTTTCGTATTCGTGAATCGACTTGTGTTGATTTGTTAAATCTATAGGTTGTTGCTGTTGACCAAACACTTAATGTGTAGCAGACTTCCATGAAGAATATTGGGAGAAGTGATGTGTTGTTGACGCTATTAATGGCGAAAATGACTGGTTGTTGAGTTGAGGTGGATGAACAGGAGGAGGTTTACGTATTTCCATTGATGTGTACTTGATCAATTCATTTTCTACAGCTTGTTTTATGGCACGATTCAAATTATTTCGATAATGTTAGATTACTTTGCATTTTGCATTGACCATATTGATATTGCTTAGAACATATAATATTATGCTTTTAAAAGCAAGGGAGATTGTGCACCACTGCTAGTTGAAGGTGCTCCAGAGGAATGATGTATTTATTTTGATTGTTATCTGATTCTACTCTTATTGTTGTTTGTTGATTTTGGATCACATGTCTTTTTTTCTTTATTTTGATCTTTCTTCCTCGATTTATTTGAACCCACAGCGATGAAATTATCACTGTTCTTGAATGAACGTTTGTTTGCATCAGTGGTTGAATCTAGCTGCTCATCGTTTCTTTTATTACATTCGTTTACTGGGAATGGTTCATGTTCTGTTAGTAAACTTGTTTATTGTGGAAGACGTGACGTGTTTTGATCATCTATCAGTAGGAGAGACAAGCGGATGGAAGTATTTGTAAAAGAAATATGTATATACTCGAAATGAATCGAAAAGAGGAATGATCGAATAAACTATATCAACTTTCATCATGATGATTTTCAACTTAACCTCTCAACTGATGGTATGCTAAAAACAGATATCAAAGTTAAAAATTTTTACTTTTTTGTTTATAGAGATATCTCTTTAGTTGCCTGTACGAAACGATGTTCAATAGTGTGCTATTGATCTAAGGCGTATTTCTCAAAATTCAGCTGACGGTTAGTATATACGATTGAAAGTTTGAGATACAGGTCGAACAAAAATTCTTATCTCGTTGAAATGATTGTTTAAATGAAAACATTCAGATGCAACCATTCTTTTCTATTTACTCGTATAATCAAACAAATAAATTGGCTTTCATTCTGAACGTGTCTAATAAAGAGTATCAGCATCGTGATGTTTTTTAGTTTCGTAATCAATTGATGATAATGAATTCGAACGCGATAGTTTCGATAATTGTTGTGGAATTAAAAGTGAATTAGCATCTCCAATTTGTGGTGGCCAATTGGTAGACACTGGAACTTTCGTCGATACCAAATCGATTTCTTCACATTGATCATTATCTTCATTAGGCATCCATTGTGAGACAAACCATAAACATCTAAAAAAAAAAAAAAGGCAAAATTTAATAAAGTATTTTTTTCAAAAATATACTTACATATTGAAGAAAAGCGGAATTATACTCAAAAAAGCTGCTAGTAAAAATGTAAAATTTTTATAATTAATTACAGTTCGAGAATAAATCCAATTAAAAAAACAATAACCAATAACTTTCATAATCGTATTAATTTCTGTTACTAATGTAAATGCATTTGTTCTTTCATATGGTTGTAACAATTTCGATATCATTGGTAATGTTAATAAATTTTGATAACCAGAAAATGAACTAACTATTAATCCAACATACATTTGCCAATCATATTGTGTAAATGCAAGCCAAAATAATGCAATACAAAAGAATATATGACTTATTATACATATAATTATATCACAAGCACCTATGTTTGTTAAAATTTTCATTCCTAATACACTAAGAATACCAAGTGAAATTAATGTTATTGCTGAATAATTTCCAATATGTTGCGATGTCCAACAAAATGGAATATTAAGAAGATATAAAAGGAGTATAATAAATGATGTACAAATAAATGTATATGATGCATAAGCTAAAAGTATTAATAAAAGACTAATTGATTTTTTACGTGAACGATTTTTAAATTCCAAAACTTTACAAACATCAAAATAAAAACTACAATATGTACGAGAAATTTGTATATTAGTTGGACTTAAAAATGAATTTAGATCATTAGACATTGATAGAGTTTGATAATAATGTTTATCAGATTTAAAAAAGAATACAACAATAAAAATTGAAAGTAATTGTAATATTAATGCAGTCCAATATAAATCAATAAAACCTTTCCATGCTATATAATAACCAATAACAAATGTTCCTATTGCTGAAACTATCATTGATATTGCACCAAAAAGAACAAAATGAGATGAACGTTCATTTTCAACAGTATTTTCTGTGATATATAAATTGAGAACAAAACCTAAATAAACAAAACAGAAGAAAAAAAAATATTATGAAGAAATTTCTGTTCAAAATTTATACCTCGAATATTTTCAGAACCTGATAAACCAACGATAAATGCAGCTATATACCACCAATATTCTGATAGATGTAAATAAATAATTGCTAACCAAATAGCTAATTGACAAGTAGTACCTATCATAGGTAATATAAGAACAAATCTTCTACCTAATTTTGGAGTATATAAACCAAGAATATAAGTCATTATAATAATAGGAAAACAACTCGATACATTAATCCAAAAGAATAGATTAGCAGATCGTTGTTGTGCCCATGCTTGAGCATTATGATTCACAGCAATATTATTCTTTGTACATTTGTCTGAAAAATTATTATTTATTTTATTAAGATAAGATGGAAGAGTAACAATCGTTGAAGTTTGAATTTCATATGATATCAATGGATATGTTTCTAAATAGAATTTATAGATATATTGTCCAAGTGTAAAAATAATGCAAGTACAAAGAGTTTGAAGACTAAGAACAATTGCGATGGTATAATTGCTGACATTCGTCATTAGACTAAATGATATTTCTGAAACCAAACAAAAAAAAAAAAAAAGAAAGTGACGATACTTTATGCAATCAACCGATTCTACAAATCATACGTTTTTTACTCTTCTATTCACATCTTCTTTCTTTTACTCAGAATCAACGATGCATGAAGACCGATAAACCTTGCTGCACATGTAAATCATACTTTCAAAACAAATGGAAAATAATAAAAAAAGATATCGTACAAGTTATTTTAATTAATGTTTTACATTAGAAGAATCTTCTTTTTTGTTCTATTTTTTCAATTCAACTATTAGCACTGAACTATAACTAGGAAAAACAAATGTTCCAATTTTTACTACTTACAAAACTCAGGAATTTGAGCTTTACTCGTAATTAGATCTTACTTATGTTGTATACATTGCTCATACTTATTTTACTTTTAGTTTTTTTTTTTTGTATATTTTTATTTAATCAAACAACAATATAATAAAATCAAAATATCAAAGAATTAAATGATCGTCTGTTGTTATCATCTTGTTGTCTGTTGATGATTCTAAGTTTACTCGAGATCTATTTTTATTTGGTGTCTTTGGAAGAAATGTTGAATATAGTACTGATGAACAAATAATATCATTTGAATGTGCTATATTATTATTATTATTTGGTAAAAGACATGGTTCCGATTCAGAAATTGAAACTTGATCTTCATTCGACATTCGTCGTGTTACACAAAATAGACATCTAATAAAAAGAAAAAAAATAATATTGTTCATTAAATTTTAATCAATTTCTTACATATTTAAAATAAACGCAATAATACTAAATCCAGCAGCCATTAATAAAGTAAAATTTCGAAAATTAACTACTGTTTGTGCATAAATCCAATTAAAAATTGAATCTCCAAAAGTTGTTATTATTGTAGTTATTTCAGCTACAAATGTAAATGCATGATTTCGTTCATGAACTTCTAATAATTTTGATATCATCGGTATTGTTAAAGGATTTTGATAATCAGCATAAGGACTTATTAATAATCCAGCATATAATTGCCAATTATGTTTAGCAAATGCAATCCAAAGAGATGATGTAGTAAAACATAAATGACTAAACATACAAATTATTGTATCATTAACACCCATATACGTAAAAAATTTCATTCCGAGTAAACTAAAAATAGCACAACATATTGAAGATAATGCCATATAATTTCCAACATTTTCTGATGACCAACAAAATGGACTATCAAGTAAATACCAAAGAAATGATGCATATGTTGAATATGCTAATAGATAAAAAATATAAGCGAATAAAATTAATAGAAGACTAATTGATTTTCTATATGAACGATTTTTAAAACTAAATATTTGTAAAATAATGAAAAAATCTTTACATTTTGTTCTTAAAGAACGTGATTCTGTAATTTGAATATCATTATTATTATTATTATTTTGAATTGATGATAATAAAAGACAAGTTCTTTCATCGATTATATGTGAAGAACTTTTAAAAAAGAAAATAACAATTACAATCGAAACAATTTCTAATCCTAATGAAATCCAATAAAGATCCGTAAAACCACGCCAATTAATATAATAACCAATAGCAAATGTAACTACAGCAGATACAGTTGTTATTAATGCTTCAAATAAAACAAAACGAGATGATCGATTATCTTCTTTTGTATTATCTGTAATGATTAAATTTAATACAAAATCTACAAAAATAGAAAAACATAAAATGTATAAAAACACAGGATAGCACACCATCGAGAAACGCTTGAATATCTCTATTGCAACTCGAGCAAATAAGCTGATTTCTTTTTACTAATAATGAAGATCTATAAATGAACGACACGTTGTAATCAAAAGATCATTATACTTACAAGAATTTCTCTCTAGTTAGATATTCAATTGTTTTTCGGTAGTGTTACTTTTGAGCCATTCTGTACAAAAAAAATATAAAAATAAAAATATTTCTCTTACTGAAAACATAAGTTGAACCAGATAGACCAACAATAAAACTAGCTATATACCACCAATAATCAGCTAGATGTAAATGAATAATTGCTAACCAGATAAGTAATTGACCAGCAGTACCTAACATAGGAAGTATAAGAACAAATTGTCTACCTAATTTTGGAGTATATAATCCAAGTATATAAGTCATTATAATCATTGGACAACTATTCCATAAATTAATTCGAAAAAATAAATCAGCTGATTGTTCTTGTGCCCATATTTGAGCACTACTATTTGAAGAATTATCAGTTGTATTATCTAAACATTGTTTCAAGACAGTACTAACACTTTTCATATGATGAAAAGAAGGAATTAAAATTTTAGCAAGGTTTTGAGTTGTATTTGATGATGATGGATATATTTGTAAATAATATGCATAAATATATTGTCCAACAGTTAAAATAACACAATTACAAGCTGTTTGAAGACATAGAATAATAGCTATAGCATAATTACTAATATTGTTCATTATATAAAATCGATGGGTGTGTATTCCTTGTAGTAAAAATAAAAAAACAACGGGCTTCATTTTTTTAATTTGCATTTACCTCTTGTATTACTCATCGTCAAGTTATTTTGCGTTCTCTATTTTTTTTTTCGCTTTTCTTAAAGAAAGAAAAGAAAAAAGGGCAAGGAGGACTATGCAAACAAAAGTAGTGTACAAGCGAGACCGTGAGAAGAAAAGTAAAAGAATGTACTTTTATGTTTCTAGTCGCGTGTATCATACAAAATTCAAGAAAAAGAAATTCTTTTTTTTTTATCAATATTTTCAGTATCATTTTGACCCAAAATTTTATTTTTGCTTACAATCAAATGTTAAACAAACTAATTCTTTACAATGTATCAAACATTTAGCAACACAAAGATAAACAATTTCCATGATGAAATCAGATTTTAAGATTCGAACTCACTGACTGACTTGTGCTAGCTAATAAATCAATCGTCCTTTTCAAAGACATAAGAACAACTGCATGGAAATAGTGTTTCATTTCGATGTAATTTTGAGTTTGACATGTGCGTCAAATGTATAGTGCAAGACAGGATTTAGATGATTATCTTCTCATATGTCAATGTTGGATAAAAGGAAATTGTGTAACTATTCGGTCAAATTATATAGAATTCTGTTGATTTTCAGCAAATATTCTTGAAATGAAAATCTTATGATCTCTAGAGAATTATTGAACAGAGTATGAGAATAATGTTCTAAAATTTGAATAGAAAAGATTTTCTACTGGCTCTAAGATTCATTTGGGTTATTTTTCATTCAATTTGTATTACTAAAAATAATATTGTCTGATTTATTATTGCGACTTTCATCTGTTTTTTTCTTATTTGATTTATTTGTTACAAAGGAAACAAAATTTCTGAAAACTTACGATTTTATCAAGTTACTATTCAAATATTCTAGCTTTCGTAGGACTCTGCAATGTCATTGAATCAGTATTTCAACTCATTGATCTTAATCTTCACTGAACATTGGAGTGCCACTTCTGATAAATCGATCACTCAATGACGGATCATTATGGTTCATACTTTATCAACACTCAATCAATTTATTTCGATAGACCAAAATTATTAATATTCCCATCGCTTGATCTAAAGTTTCCATATCCATTGAAAGAATACTCTCAAGAGATTCTGAAAGGTTACAAAAATCTTGTAATCGATCAAAATTCCTTTTATCAACATATCTCATTTATGAAACACCGAAATCTATTCGAAAATTCGGATATTCATTATTATTCTTAGAAATGTTCTATTTCTATGCACCGTAAATCTTATTACTTTTATTTTTGTTATACAAAAAATAAAAATTCAAATACAAAAAAAAAAAAAAAAAATATTTATCACAGACTAACTAAATCATTAACTGAAGAATTGATCATTTCTTCCAGTTGATTGTCATCAACAGAATTCGTTCGAGATCTTTCCATGGATGATGTACGTAATGAAGAAGTTAATGATCGAGATGAAATAATCAAACAGGAAGGATTACCAGCATCTGATAATATATTATTATCTAAATGACATGATGCTGGTTCTGTATCACTTTGTGGAAGTGAAAGTAATTCTTCGTCGGACATTTTTCGAGTTATTAGAAAAAGACATCTTAAAAAACATATAATCACAATTTTTTTTTTTTTCGTCAAATATATAAATCAAAATATTTACATATTTAAAATACAAGGAATAACACCAAGACCAGCAGCAATAAATAATATAAGATTTCGATGATTAACAACTGTACGGGCATAAAGCCAATTGAAAAACGAACTTCCAAATGTCGATATAATTGTATTTATTTCTGTTATAAATGTAAATGCATTATTTCGTTCATGAAATTCTAACCATTTTGACATCATTGATATTGTTAATGGACTTTGATAACTAGAAAATGCATTTATTAATAATCCAACATATAATTGCCATCCATATCGTGCAAATGCATTCCATAATGATGTTAGACAAAAACACATATTACTTATCACACATATAATTGCATCACTAGTTCCAATATATGTTAATAATTGCATACCTAATAAACTAAGTATTGCAGAAGAAATAGCACCTAATGCTGAATAATTTCCAATATTTTTTGATGTCCAACAAAAAGGTGCATTTAGAAGAAACCATAAAAATGGTGACAATGATACTACGGCTAACACAAAAAATATATTTGAAAATAATATTAAATATAAACTTGTAGTTTTTTTCTTTGATTGTTGATTTAATTTAAATACTGTACAAACTTTTAAAAAATGACTACAATTATTTGATGAAGTTTCTTGAAATTGATCATTAATTGATGATAATAAAGGTATTCGTTCATCAACATTAGTGTCAACCGTTTTAAAATAGATCATAACAATAATTATAGATAACATTTGTAAAAAAAGTCCACTCCAATATAAACCAATAAAGCCACGCCAAGCTATATAATAACCAATACTAACTGTTGCTATTGCAGATAATGCTGTTTGCATTGCACCTAAACGTACAAAACGAGATGAACGTTCATTTTCCAATGTATTTTCAGTAAGAATTAAATTTAAAGTCAAACCTAAATAAAAAGAAACATTTTAGATAATGAATTTTACAGAGGAAAAACTGTCGGCAGACTTCTAAGGTTATCTAATACAAAGTTCTTTTACTTATTGTTTGAACTCAACGAAGGATTGATATTATAAATGAACTAAATCATTCGTTAGCAATGTGCCTTCGCAAAATTAGAACACACGTATTTCGAAATAATGAACTTTCTTAGAGCTAGTTTTTATATGTTACATGTATGTTAAGTTACTCGAGATATCTTGAAAAAATCAACACTAGAGATATTTGTTCAAGAAGAGTTATCAGTAAACAACTTAATGTTAGCGACGTGACACAGAAAAGAATATCGGTTTTCACTTTCTACATTTTAGTTTTTTAAAACTTCGAATTGAAATAGCATTTTTGAAAACTAAATAGTACATTTTGTAGACAACTTCTGAGGCTACGAAATCTCTATCGAAAGTTGTTTTGTGAGCATGTCAAGATTTTTCAAAAAACTCGATTTACTTTTTATTAGCAACGTGACGGAGTAAGAAAAAAAAACGTGCTCTTATAACCGAATAAGAAGTTTAAAACCAATTTCAAACATTACAAAGCCTTCTTCGGAATCTCTAGAAAATCAAGTTTTTAAATGACGTTTGTTGAAATTCGATCTTGCTGAAAATTTTACTATGATTTTTGGATTTTTTTCTCATATGATTAGAGAGATATTTGCTAATTAGTTTTTAATTAATAGTCAGCTGAAAGAGCTAACATTTTTACATATATCAATGTTAAAAGAACCTATTCAGAAAAATAACTCTTGTAAAGAATCAAAGTCAAATGAAAGATGCACTCATACCAAAAAGACCACTGGAACCTGATAGACCAACTATAAAGGCAGCTATATACCACCAAATTTCAGACAGATGAAAATATATGACTAATAACCAAATAGTAAGTTGAATAATTGTACCTAATAGAGGTATGATAAGTACAAAACGTTTTCCTAATTTTGGCGTATATACACCTAAAATATAAGTCATAATTATTACCGGACAACTACTCATTAAATTTGTCCAAAAAAATAGATTAGCTGAGTGTTGTTGTGCCCATGCTTGAGCATCTTTATTCGGAGAACTATCATTTTGTAAACATTTATTTGTTTCATTATTGATTTCATTGAAAAAATAGAATGAATTATATATAGTTATTGTTGTATAATTAGATGTCTTATTCGATGAATTTGGATATGTTTCTAAATAAAATCCATATATATATTGACCAATTGTTGAAGTAAGACATGTGATCAATGTTTGAAGACATAATATGATAGCTATTGCATAAATACTAACGTTTGCCATATTTATGACTCATTTAACTAATTTCCTTTAATTAAGAAAAAAAAAATCAATATAAATATCTGTATAAAAAAAAAAAAGAGAAAAAATGTAAATGACTAAGCTGAGTTGCTTGCCATATTTTTTCCACTACTGCATGTACTGCATAGGGTAGAAAAAAAAATGTCTTTCTTATTATTTTTTTTTTCTTGTTCTCATAAAAAGAAAGAAAAAAGAAAAATAGTTATATCGGACGATTGACAAAAGGAATAATAAAACAAATATTTTAAAAGAAACCAAGTAAAATAAATGAATATATCTAAGTGGTAATGTTAGAGTATTATAGTGTCATTTCTTGTTATTATTTGGTGAGATTTACTCATATATATAAATGTCATTACAATTGTAATACATATTTGTATAAAATTAAAAGAAAAAAGTGTAACAAGAATAATTTTTATTATATGTGATGAATGTTGACATCGATCTGGACCTAAAAATATTTTATAACATGAATCAGATGTAAGATTAATCGATGTAAGAATAATTGCAACTATAGAAACTAAACACATAGCCATATGTATAAATTGTATTCGTTGTAAAGAACATATACGTATATTTGAACGACTCATAAATAAAATAAGATCTATTCCTAATATAATACTTAATGCACCTGTCCAAAGTCCTGTAAATGAATATGATTCATTCATAATTGTTAAAATAATATCACAAACAATAGCTGCTAATCCAATCATCATATGAATAAGTCCTGTTCCAAGTAAATATCGAGTAAATTTTTTTGGTAAAATAATTGATGCATGAGGTGAAGATAATCTTTCTTGATATTGAACATTTCTAATAGGTACAACATAAATCGATGGTGTATATGATGGTGGTGGATTGTCATAATTATTTCTTATCGAATAAGCTGGTGGTGGTCCATATAAATCATCTTTCGACATTGACCAGTCGTCTATCATCATGTACGTTTATTTGATATAATCAAACAATGAATGAAAGTAATAAAACAAGCAGAAGAAAAGAAAATGGTAAAATCAAGATCACAGTAAAAATGGGAATGAAATATAAAAGTGTACGAATAAAAAAAAAAAACGAATAAGAGAGGGAAGAAAAAAGTAGGGACGCTGTGAAGGTCAACACGTAATATATGTGATTTGAGCACGTCGAAAGGATCATTACGATGAAATATATACACAGTTTAAGGACAAAAGTCCGTTAACCAATCACATTGACTTAATAGTAAATTGAATTTCAGTTTTTTTTTAATGGATATTTCATTGGAATAATGATACTATTTAAATATAACAAAAAGAAATTATATGTAATTAAATAAATCAAAAAAAATTTCATTTAACATTGAACATATATAGAACTAGTTGAAATGGAGAAAAAAAAATTATCGAACCGTGAAATCTACTTATACTTACTATCAGTAGGGATTTTTTTAATGATATTTCATTTTCTTTTCACTCGGTTTTGTAATTAAACTGAACTTTAGTTTCGAAATACAAGGTTATTTTGATAGAAGAAGAAAAAAAAAGAAAGGTTAGATATCATTAAAAATACCTTTAGATTCAATTTAATGACATTTCGATAAGAATATCTGATGTTTGATTTATGATGAAAGTTGGTTTCAATTCTATAACGGATAAGTACATTATTCGTTTATTACATTTTTTTTTGTAATATTTGTGTATATATACTATTATTCAATCATTAGTTGACTAAGTAACTGTTGTAAAATGTTATAAAGTAAGAAGAGAAGAAGTATTGACCGACATTTTTATTTTATTTCATAATGAATATTGTAATCGTATTTACTCTCTTTAATGACTTTAAATCTATGTTAATAAAAGACTAATCTCAGATAAGCTTGTATATCAAAAGCTTTTATTAACTCGAAAAAAAATCTATTACATATTTTCGAGTAACAGTAAAAGATTCTGACTGATAGAAAAATTCAATTAAAAAATTCTCAAACTATTTTATAAACTTACAATTTTTTTTAGAGTATATATATAGTAATGAACAAAAGTCTTTGCCTCAGTCAATTTCATCCACTTTATGTGCTAAAGACTTGAAGATTTGTGTATATACACTTCACTAAGAATGTAGGTTATTTGTATTGCAGAACTGTTATTGCTTAATTACAAAGGGAGTTATAATGGATGGCACCTATTTTTGTTGTCAAACTTATAACTCTGGACAGGAAGAGTATTCTGTGTCAGGCGACTCTTCTATACGTAATACTATGTCCCAGCTATTGCATTAATAATTTCATTGAAATTTTTCAAAGGCTATGCTCATTTTACTCTAATCATTGTTGTAGAAGAGAAAATATCTACTGTCGTTTGCAGGTCAATAATTCAGCGATAGTTCAATGGAATGAGTTTACTTCTTTTTTTTTTTTTGAGAACTTTTCTCTACAGTTAGACATTATTATCTACAAGTTTCATAAGGGAACCTTGCGTTAAAGAGAAATCGAAGATAGATGATAATCTGATGAGTTCCAAGGATCTAGACACAACAATATTTGTGTAAATGTACTTCAATAATGATATCATAATGTCAATGGCCTACATTCTTGATGAAGTATGTGTACATAAATTTTCAAACCTTTAATACATACAGTAGTTGGCTAGAGCGGAAACTTTCGTCCATTACTGTACTTTTTATTTTGGTAAAATCGTACATATGATTAGGACATTGTAAATGTCCAATAGGGTAATTATTAAATGATGCACATACATAATAATAATAGCAATGATTTTTATCCACTATACTAAATCTTTTGTTTCAACACTTCAACTTCCATTACTTATTTGTAAAGTTGAAGTCATAATTATCGTTTTAGTTATTTGTATCGATAGTATTGGTGTAGAGAACACTGAAGATACAATTGAAGTAATAGGAAACACAGCACGATAACATGATTGATCGCTATTTTGTATGATATCTTAGGAAATGTGAATAACTTCCATTGAATATACTATGAATATCTTAAATAGTATAAAAATTTGTTAACTAATTGTTGAAAAAATGAATTCTCTTACATATTCTACATAATTACAGACTTGATTCTGACATTGGTTTATTGATCATTATTTCTTGTTGCACATGCCGATAAAAAAAAACGAATGTTGTGTGCAAGTCTACATGATATGTTATTATAAAAAGAATGAATTCTACAACGAATTTTTGATGCATAAACATTATCATTAAAATTCACAGTGACTTTTCACCTACAAAAGAATATCTTACTAAAGTACTAATTCATTTTTGATAGAAATTGCATTTTCGAGTTTAAAACAAAAAAAAGAAAATTTTGAACATTGAATTTAACTCAAGGGAAGTAGGCAATGGTTGGATTTAAACACGATTATGAAAAAATACAATGTGAAATCACGAAATCTGATCATCTAAGAAGTCTTGTCTTTTACTAAACATTGAGGATTATCATATTTTATATTAAATAAGACCTTATCATATTAGCGTTACAATAACGAAGGTCGTAGACTTGTTGTCTTTTGAAAGCCTTGGAAATAGAAGCTCTGACATTTTCTATATTTTACTTTAGAAGAGATAATAATTTAGTTTATTTAAGTAAAAATCCCAAATTCATTATGTACTTAATATTGCTATTGATTTGAGATTGAATGCTGTAAATAAAAATAATTAATATCAATGATTTATTACTTCTGCAACGATTTTTGATATTTATCAACAAAAACAAAATCGATATTGTATATCAATATTTTCTTTTCTTTCGATGACTTGCATTTCATTGATTTCTTTGTTAAATAACATCATCTATTCAATTTACTAATTAGTTTTATACTTATTATAACAGTGAATATTCAGTAAAGCTTTTAAATATTCAAATTTCATGAATGTGAAATACCTATATCAAATCGAATGTTCATTATTTCAAACAAAAACTGATCATTATCAATTAATGTATTCCGATTATTTGATGTATGATATGTCTTTAGAGGACATTGACCAATTTACCATCGATATTCAATTTTTCCCTGTGCTTGTGAAATAAGACTAGGATATTCTTGCAGAAATATTTCCTTATTTTCCTATTTCAAAAGAAGATATTTTAACATGTATGAATTCATTGCAGTGGATAATAATGAAATATAAATTGGATTAGATTTGTTCTCTTCAGTAACTACAATCAGACAATTTCAACTAAAGAAGAAAGATGAATAAATATAATATTTTTACGATCGGATATTGATTTGTTTTTTGTTCATTTGAGTTTATGGTTGAAGTTTCACATGATTTAAAAAAGTATTCAGTGATGTAGTATAAGATCTTACACTTTCGATAGAAGAACAATATGAATTTATTAATTGCACATCCTTGTTTATCGTTAATGCCAGAGTGAACAATTTGTTGGTGCGTATTGTAACTTGTATTTATTTTAAAGTGAAATAGATTTGATAAAAGAACATGTAGATGACAAAACATTGACATTGAAACTTTTATTATCTAGCAAATTTATCACAAAATCCTCATCCTATTTTATGCATATGTTATATAGTCAATCAAAAAAAATTTTTTTATGCTTCAATCAATCGCGTGAAATTCTTTTAAATCATCATATGATATTGAAATCAAATTTTTTCTCACATATCAATCTCAGCATGATATCTTTTATTCATTTTTGTTCTCCCAATGGAACAATTAACACATTACTCTTCTGATCTATTCATTCATGGAATAAACATTTAAAGATACAAACAAAATTCTATTAGACTTTTTTGCTTTTTATTAATAAATAAATACATTCTATACAAACGAAAAAGACTAGAATCGTACAGAACGAATAATACCTAATGATGAATGCTGTTGATTATTTAATGTTGAATACATAAACGGCAATACAAGTATAACAGGAAGATTTTCTCGTATGACTGTATGATGAATAACAAGTGTACTTAGATTAACAAATGTTTTTAATGAGCCCTATAATATATATATATATAAGATCAAAGAGAATAATATTAATTAAACAAACTTTTATTCGATAAGTATTATTATTAATTGTTTGTTGAATTAAAAAATGTTCAATTGATGTTCTAGTAGTTTTTATTGATAAAATATATGGATAATTTGAACAATTATAATTACATCGAATAATAAATGATCCAATTGGTTGATTATTATTTAAATATTCTTCACAAATATATTCAGGTAAACCTTCTTGATACCATGCAGCAGCTGATAATAAATCTTGATCACTGAAAAGAGATTTTCTTTTTTTTTAATATTGATTAAAAAGATATATTCTTATCAGAACAGATGTTCAGGAAAAGCTATTCTCATCAATAAACAATTCACTAGTGCGTTAATCAAGCATATCTAACAATGAAAAATTTGATTATCGTTACTATTGACACTCTATTGTCTTTCATATATTGCAATTAGATGCTGTGCGCTCAAGTGTGTGTAGACAAAACAACTATAATCTTCGGGCCATCGATGTCTGCACACACACATATATACACATGTATGTAATTCGAGACATTGCTATATTCATCACGCGATATGGATGAATGAATGAAAGTGGATATGATCGTATTTCAAGGTCAAAAGGAAATATAAAAGACTTACTCTATTCGATGACGTATTGGTTTTGGTGTATCAACAGACATAGAAATAATTGATTGAGAATCATATTGAATTTGTTTATTAATATTTAAACGAAATTTTTCAATTTGTTCATCTAAATTCCATACACTATCATAGATATCTGTATCATGATTATTGATTTCTGTTATTGTTGATGATGATGATGATGATGATAAGAGAAGTGATGCTAAACTTTTATGTCGAGATAATTTTTCTTTAATATATTTTGTTATACCAATACGACGATTAGATGATGATGATGAAGGATCTGTTTGAGATAAACTTAAACGTGAACCATAGCCAGATGAAGATGATAACGATATAGATGAAGATGAACTATTACGATCAAACCGAAATGAATCGGTTGTTTGAAAACCATCAATATTTTTCATAGAATCTAAAAATAATAATATGAAATTTTCATATAAAATATAGAATTATTAATTTTCTTATAATATATTAGTCGTTCGAAGAATGTGAACAAATTGGATAAATTTTTTCTTCGCTTCTAAAACGATTGAATATGTTCAACCATTTATTCAATTTAATCGATAAATAATCTTTCTTGTCTTATACACTTTCTTATGGAATCAATTATGTAATAGTGAAATGATACTTACACTGAATGTTATATTGAAATAGAATAATATTCTTTTTTTTTTCCCAGAACTACACAAAAGACTATTTCTTTTATATACTTACATGTTAATAATTTATTCAAGACAATCAATTAATAAACGATGATTAAAATACAAAAATTGACGCTTTTTTCTATGTGTGAAAAGCAGATGTCTGATCAAACACCAGTTTTATCAACAATATATGAATCGTCTAAAAATGAATTCTAATGCAATTGACCTATTATCAGAAGGAAAGAATTGCTTCCATTGTCTCTCCTTCTCTATTTTATCACGAAAGAAAAAACTACATATGTTCAAATATAAGAACGAGAAGAAAAAAAAATATTGAACTCATCAGATGGTTCAATTGTCTCTTATTTTATACTGATTGATCGACCGTATCATATATATATATATAAACGAAAAGCTTTCATTCAATATCCATGGTCTTTCTAACAATAATTGATTGATATATAACTTAAAAGATAAAGAGGCATCTGTTCGATTTTCGAAAATACTTGACTGACATAGATAAAAAAAAAAAGAGTTTGTTTTTTATTCAATACAAAAAAATATATAGACAGACGAACCCTAAAGCAATTATCATCAATGCATTTTTCCACTTGTCTTATTCTATTTCATTCCTAATGAGTTTTGTCCTTATGCTGACCGACATTGAACAGAAAAAAAAAAAAGAAAATTAATGACGGAACTGGATGGACAGATTATTATTTTGAGAAAGAAGAAAACAACCCAATGATGAACATTTGCATGTATAAATCGAAGATGAACAACGGAAGTGACAACATACATGCAATCATGTCTATATATGTTTGTCAGTTCTATTTAAAAGAAGACAACGTCTCTGAAGATTAAACTAAATATAGCATGCAATGACTGTACAAGATTATATTTTTCATACAACATCTGACAAGGATTTAATAACAAAATAATTCATATATTTAATTCGAAAATATATGTCAGAGATAACGAATTCATGTTTTTATTCAGTTAGACTTTCGTATGTAAAATTACAATAGTGTAGGATTAAATTGATTCTACTTTCTGTTATTGTTTTATTTGATATTGCGAAAAAGTTATTGAAGTTCTTTGCATTCATCCATTGTTTTTATATAATTTTTATTATTTAATCTAGAAAAATAATTTGATATAAAGTTTTTAAACTCATGTTAAATTAAATATAGATCATGAAAACAATGTTTTATTATAATTAATTTAGAATTTCTCAAGTATAAATTATAACTCAGTAAATCGAAAAAAGGTTAAAAAATCGACCTATATTAAGTTACGACACAAGAAGTGCTTCCCAAAATAAAAAAACATTTCCTGCGTGACAATAGAATCTTTGCAAATTAAGCATGCCCTCCTTCAAAACTCGATTATGTCATAAGTCATGCTCGTTTTTGCGTAAAATATATTTTAATTAAATAACAGAATTTTTTTTTGACTAATAGAAATAACATCTTGATATATAAATTGAACTTTTAGCTTTCTTATTTATTTAATTAGGTAATTTTGAAAGTATAGCTGTATAATCAATAGGTGATGTCTGACTGTTTGTAAGATTAATATATGAAATAGGATAAAAATGTTATGATTATTAATAAGACAATTACTATAAATATCTGCTATCCTGTCTTTTGATATTAAAAAAAACCTATATTATTAATTGAAAAATGTCACGAAATATATAAAGGACAGTTTATAATAACAGACATTTCAATCATAATCTTCGATTATCAACTTTTCAGATCTGTGGCTTAAACTATTTTTTAATAAAGAATTTAATATGATACAATTGATAAAGTTCTTATATGTTTTATTCTTATATTAAAATGCATAGTATATATAACAGAATAAACTATTTTATCATCATAAGCACGTTTATTCATTATCAAATATATTCACATTGCTTTATTTCTTCCTTAAGACAATAAACAATGCCGCTTTGACGTATTAAAAACAACCTATTATTTTTAATGAAAGAAAAAAAATGACTCGTTTTTCCTTTCTCGTCATCATCCATGTGTAGATGTTCACGTTGCTTGTCGTGATTGAGTGGATTCCTTTTTCTATGGCAAACATAATGTTGTTGTTAGTGGCAAAGAGTATTTCTGTATCCATAGTGAATAGCATTTTTTTTCTCTTCTTTTTTATCGACGTAAGGCATGAAATATTTAAAGTGTACCTTTTTTCTTTGTAGAAATATATTTGTGCAGTTTATTTTTTAAAATGGCTAACTCACTAACAAACGCGCAACGTCAAGAATTAAAAGATGCTTTTGATATGTTTGATTCAGGTATATGAATTTAATTTAAAAAAAATATTTTCGATGAAAAAAAAAAAAAGATAATTTTATTACTATTTATCAATAGATAAATCTGGTAAAATATCTGAAAAAGAGTTAGGAAGTGTTTTGAAGGCATTAAATATTAAAGCAAATGATAGTGATTTAAAAAAAATGGTTACTAAAATGGATTCAAATAAAAGTGGTATGTAGAATGATTTAATTTATAAAAAAAAGAAGATATTACTATTCTAAATAGGTGAAATTGAATTTGATGAATTTTGTCGTGTAATGGCTGCAACATTTTTTAAACAACATTCTAAAGATGAATTACATGCTGCTTTTCGTCAATTTGATCAAGATGGTTCAGGTTATATTCAAGCAAGTGAACTTGAAAATATCATGACAAAAATGGGAAAACGTTTTAATAAAACTCAAATAGATGCAATGGTTCAATCCTTAGATACAAGTGGTGATGGAAAAATTTCATTTGATGAATTCGTTCAATTATTTCAATAAAGAACTAGAATAGACTATTTTTCTTTTTCATGTCATTTTAATTACAAAATATGAATTATATACACATTTTTTTTCCCATAAAATTAAACTTGACGAGAACCTAATGTTGACGTTAATGGTAATTGAACTGCAGAAAATGGATAATTTGAGAAACGTGTTGGATCAGAAGTTTTACCTAAGAATTAATGTTTTTATGATAGAATGAAATGAAAACAAAGAAAAAATAATTACTTCTTTCTATAGAACGCGAAGTTCTACGAAATGGGAGATAATGACGAATATTTCCATTACGTACGACATAAATTAACGGATTCCATCTAAATAATAAAATAAAAACAATGTTCTAGATAAAGAAATAACATACACAACACTTGTTTTAGCAAATAATGCTGGTATTGTTCCAAATATAGGCGGAAAATATTCAGCATCAATAAAGGCACAAATAAAACTCATTATTGCATATGGCGTCCAAGCAAGCATATAACCACCTTAAAAATATCAAAAGAAATATTCAATTGTTTCCTTTTCTTTTATTCAAATTTCTATTATTATTACTTATGATAAGAATAATAGTGAATGTTACACGACGTTCAATTAAATATTGACGTTGACAATGAGATTCATCTAAATTTATACTTGTACGACGTCGATGTTCATGAACCTAACAAGAAAAAAAAAACAATTCTATATTCTTCTTGTTTTTATTTTCTAATTAATAAAAGATTTACTTACCACCTTATAAGTACTTATGTTTGTTATTATAATAATAATAACTGGTATTAGATAAACAAATATAAAAATAGTTATATTATAACTAATTACATTCAATGATCGTTCTTCCCATTTTATACTACAAGATGCTCCAACACCCTATAAATAATTTATTGTATTCAACAAAAACAAACAACAAATCAAAATCAAACTTCATAATCATAACTAGACCATCCAATAACTGGAAGTAGTGTCCAAAATAAAGCTAACAAATAGCCACATATAATAATTATATAAGCACGTTTAACTGTTATAACTGATGTTGAAAGTGATCTTGTCACGACAAGATATCTGTTAAATATAATCAAATATTTTATATTTTATTTAAATTATCAAAAAAGTTTTCTCTTATACCTATCAATAGAAATGAAACATAACATATACATATTTGAACAACCAGAAAAATAACCTATTATAGCATCTATTACACAACCAACATAAGTAAAAATCCATCTAAAATAAAAAGCAAAAATGAAATAATATATATATATATATATAAATGTTTAAATAAATATTCTAACCTGCATCCTATAAGTGCAATAGTTGGTAATGGTATGTCGAAACAAGCTTCAATAAAATTTGCTAATATTAAACCACAAATAAATATATTCGTTGATGATTGTCGTAAATTTTTATGTCGTATAAACATATATAGTACATAAGCATTTAAACTGGTACCAACAATCCAAATAAATAAGAAATAATATCCAATAGGTTGTAAAATATAACATGGTTCTAATCGTTTAGATAAAGATAAATTATTATACAAAGACGTAGATACATTCATTGTATAAAATATGTAATATTTTGTTCAGCTATTAGTGTAAAAAGAAATAATAATTACATAAAGAAAACTGCTCTAAAGTGAAATGTGAAAGAGAAAAATATTATGTCAAATTATATAAACTAGAGAGGTATAAAAATAGAAAACTTACGAACGTAAGAAAAAAAAATAGAAGAATCAAAGGAGTTTTAACATTGAAGATTTATTTATTCTTTCTACTAATCTAATTCTGTTCTAGATCATAGTTGTCTTTTCTCTATGATTATTTTTCTCATTTTCTGCTTTCATTATAGTCTTTTTTGCAAGACTAACTAAAGAATATAGATGTTTGTTGAGATCTAACAAGCTGAATAATTATAATAATGCCGAGTAAAAAAGAATAATTTTTTTTTATGATAAAATAAAAATATTGAAATCTAACCTGAACTTTTTTGCAATTTGATATCATATTCTATTCTATTCTTTTGTTTTATTAATTATTCATAAATATCTTTTATACATAATTAACAAATAATAATACTTATTTTCTTTTGATGTAAACGAAGAAATCCTATCCGAAATTGATACTCGTATTACCTAACCAAAACTGTTTCAATGAAAGTTCATTAAATAGGTATGAATTGAAAATAACAGGTTTTCTATTAAAATTTTATAAACAAGTTTATTTATATATATTCAAACTCAAACTGTTGAAATTTTAATTGTAATGTCAAAATCAGTACGCATAGAGCAGTTTTGTTTTTCTTATTTACTTTAATTTTATATTGGTCATGGTGAACTTCTTCAAATGTACATTAATCTAGTAAACAGATAGATGAATCTCATGTAATTGAACAATTACAGAACTGAGTTTGCAAATATCTTTAAATTAGCATAAAAGTTGGAGAAAAAGAGTCATGAATGCAACAAATTAAAAAATATCATGAATACTCGATAAAAAATAGTACCATAGAAATATATCATTATATTAATTATTTTTTTTCACAAAATATTAATGAATACGTTAAATTAAAATGAATATATTTCTTTCATAAGATTGTTTTGTTTTTTTTTTCTTCACTAGAAACATCAATTAACCCTCTGAGTTCTGGTAGTACACATATGTACCACCTTGAGAACTTTCTAATCCTCGAGTTTTTGAGAATCATGGAGAAATATTTTCAATAAATGTTAAAAGTTAGCAGAGGTTCGTGCAAGATTGCACGGATGATAAGGTGTATGGAGGACATTCAAAATTGCACCAAAAAATATTTTAATCCCAAAACCTAGATTTAAAAATTGTTTCTGTTTTTCTTGTCTTCAAAATCTATATCTGTGAGATATATCTGAGACATTATGATAGTTTCGTACTTTGCAAAAGATTAAATTCATTTTTATTTATTTATATCAATCCTCAACTATAGAATTGTCTTCTATACATATAATATGCAATGTCGATGTATGTCCGAACATCGAGTCAGCATAGGTTATTCATATCGAGACTACTGATTTGACCAATTTAGTACTCGAGAATATTTACAATATGTGTCGTTTATTAGTTTTGTACTCGGAGATAATTATTGTAGTAGAAAAAATGGTAAGAAAATCTTTGGCAATAAGTAATTAGAAGAAGATACGCATTGAAAGGAACATAAGTAACACAGAGAGTTCTGAAAAATCATAACTTTCGGCTCACATGCGAAAGGTTATTTCAAATTATCGTCGATGTGCTTATTCAAGCACAAAAGGAAGAGAAAAAAGAACGAATAGAATTTGTAACCTTTGTTGTATTGATCTTTGTGTAAAAAATTGTTTTTTATTGCATCATAAAAACTCTGTGCATCAGTAATGACATAAATATATGTTTCAATAATTATAATAGCAATTATTTTTTTTTTAAATTCAACAATAACAAAAATGTTTTAATCTTCATATAATCACGTATTTCCTTAATTATAATTTAACCATATACTTCATAATGTCATCTAATTGGTTTATACCGAGTTTCATCAAATTTGGTTTAGTAGAAAAAATTCAGGACTTAAAGAATTAAACAAGTGTCATGTTGAATATTAATCATCTTTTTCTTTTCTTTTTTGTTTTAATTTTATCGTAATATTTTCATGGTTGCATAAAAAGCTAATCAAAATATAACAAGCTATTTTAATTAATGATCTTTAAATAGAGAACATATCCTTTTTATTTATATTAGACTGACAGAACTACAAGAAGAAAAGATTTAATTCAATATGTGCTCTCATTTAATCTTTATAACCAAACATCTACAAAAGATAAAATTTCATTGGAATATAAAACTAATTTTCTTTTTTCAGAAGATTAATCATGAACTTTTTTTTTCCTTATCTATATGTTATACTCATTTTACTATGAATATTCATGTAATTCAATATATTATAAAGTAATATCTATGCTGTTTGACTGTTAAATCAATATTATTAAAATCATTTTTCATATAATTTTTGTTTTATTTGGATAGAAAATAGAAATGATTTATTTATTTTTTTGATAGAAATAGAAATTAAACAAACATAATAAAAATCTTTTATTGTTCATGAATATATAATTTTGATTTAATTTTGTATGTAATTAAATTATAACTAATAATTTTTGGAATACGTTGACATGGAATAATCATATATCCTCGTAAATCAGTACCATAGGATATAAGATCTGGTAAATTTTTATTATCATTTGATATCGAAATATTTTTTATTTGAAAATATTTTAATGATGTAAATGATTCAATAAAATATAAATGAATATCATGAGATAATTTATAATTTTCGAATATATATTCAACATTATATGTTATAAATTTACTTTTTTTATTATCTTCAAGTATTTTAACTTGTCGACGATATATAACATCAGCATCATAACCAAATTTCATTGTATATGTTTCACCTTGAGTTATATCTGGTAAATATATTTGACCAATAAATCTTCCTTGTTCGTGTAATGTTAAAAAACCATTAGGAATAAAATTATTATGTGATGTTAAATTAAATGAATTTAATAATTTACCATGAGAATTTACAGTTGAAAATACAGATGAATAATAAAGAAATCGTTCAATTGTAACATTTGTTTCAAAGAATTTTATTGATTTTATTGAACGTGGTATTAATGTAATCGATGATGGTAATGATAATTCATATATATGTGTACCACTAGCTTGTTCATCTAATGTATGAATAAAACTATTGTCAGTTCCACCCGATGATTCAGGAATATACATTCTTTTTGCATACGATGAATCCGCACGTAAATATTCCATTGGTCTTTGATATAAATTTATATCTCCTAAAGACCAAAAATAAAAAATAAAAATAAAAAGAATAAAGAGATAATATTTTACCAGCAATAAATTCAGCTTCTTTTATAACAATAGATTGTTCACCATGATTACGAATATCAGCATAGGCGTGCATTGTTGGTTGTTTATCAGTATTAAATAATGATAAATCGAGTACATATCGAGGTGTCCATTGAATATTTTTGTTAATATATGATAAAAGTGGTGGTCGAATTTGTTTATCTATTGAAAATAATGATGTACAATTGAATATAACTTCATAATATGGCATAATAGGTACTTCTGTTAAATATTCAAGACTATCAAATGATGATAAATAGAAATAATGATCTGGTTTTTGAACATTACGAAAGATATAATCTATTGGATTAATAAGTTCAATTTCAATACTATCATTTTCTTTTGGATTACGATGATAAAAATATCGTGTGCCAATGATTTCAAAATTTGGTGTTGGATGATAAATAATTGTTCGTTCAATAATATTTGTATTTAACATTATTATAGATTCTTCAGATATTTTTGAATATTCTTTTTCATTAAATACAAATCGATAATGTTCAATTGATTGTTCATAATTTAATTCTGATGAATATGATTTTGATAATACTGGTCGATATAATTGAACAAAATTAGAATAAAAACGTGCAAATATATTTTGTTCATTATTTTGAGATAAATCTGATTTTGTTAAATTGACAATTACTAATAGCAAACAAGTAATTATTAATGAAGTCAT